CCCCCCCCCCCCCAACCCTTTATGTTTATCCCCTTTATGACGCTACTTGCTGTGATTGAGCTCCTTCGTATGCACGCCAATCTGGGAATTCCCGTAAATCGCCCAAATGTTAAATGAGTGACATGATGGCGCCGAAAAAAAAATAATATAAAAAACATTGCAATTGTCAGCAAAGTATGCATCCCTATTTCACAACAATGGTGAAGTGAGGCACTTTAATTACAAAATAAATAAATAAATACATTTATCACTTCATCGAAAATGGGGAGAAAAGATTCAGTAATGTAGGTATGCTTTTGAAGTTATTGATTCATATGAAATAAAATATTATCAAACTACATATCTCCCGAAAAAATCACATTAAAAAATTATCTTAATAAAATATGAAAATATTCTCATGCCTTCAAACTTACAAAAGTCCAAACAAGTGACTGGATCCCATTATAACCACACTAATAGAAAGTCTTACGTGGCTTTGAATTTCATAGAGGAATTGGTTGATATTTTATAACGAAAAAAAAAAGACTCTTCTTAATGTTAATAATTGATGGACTGCATACAAGTTGTGTAAATGAACTATAAGAACAAGGCATGCTAAACTTGAATTCTTAAACAGGACATGCTCTCAAACAGCTTAATGCTACAAATGTATAAAAAATCTCCAGCACCAACCGAGAGTCCCCTAAAGTGATCCACATTAGTCGGTGCGCTTACACGTACGACGAACTTGACTTGAACTACCCGCCGCTGAATGATGACGATGACAAGCCGCCATTTCAGTTACGCCTTTCAAGGTAAGCGGTCAGTTAAGTTGTGACTTTCAAGGTAAGTGGTCAGTTAAGTTGTGACTTTCAAGGTAAGTGGTCAGTTAAGTTGTGACTTTCAAGGTAAGTGGTCAGTTAAGTCGCGACTTTCAAGGTAAGTGGTCATTTAAGTCGCGACTTTCAAGGTAAGTGGTCAGTTAAGTTGTGACTTTCAAGGTAAGCGGTCATTGAAGGTGTGACTTTCAAGGTAAACGGTCATATAAGTTGTGACTTTCAGGGTAAGTGGTCATTTAAGTGCTACTTTTAAGGTAAGCGGTCATTTAACTTGCTACTTTTAAGGTTAGGGGTAATTGAAGTTGTGACTTTCAAGGTAAGTGGTCATTGAAGTTGTGACTTTCAAGGTAAGTGATCATTTAAGTTGTGACTTTCAAAGTTAGCGGTAATTTTAAGTGGCGAATTTCAAGGTAAGTGGTATTACAGTTGCTAATTTAAATTTAAGCGGTCATTTAGGTGCAGACTTTCAAAGTAAGCAGTCACTTAGGTGCAGAATTTCAAAGTAAGCAGTCACTTAGGTGCCGGCTTTCAAAGTAAGCAGTCATTTAGGTGCAGAATTTCAAAGTAAGCAGTCATTTAGGTGCAGGCTTTCAAAGTAAGCAGTCATTTAATGTTAGATGCATACTTTCAAAGTAAGCAGTCATTTAGGTGCATACTTTCAAAGTAAGCAGTCATTTAGGTGCAGGCTATCAAAGTAAGCAGTCATTTAGTTGCAGACTTTCAAGGTAAGCGGCCATTTTAAACGCATATCTCTGTTGAAAAAAAAATATCTAAACGCTTTGCGATCATTAAAAGAAACACAAAGGCTATTTTTAACACAGCTATCTAACTCAACGTGAATCCTTGTCAGTGAGTTGCCAGATGGACGCAGGCAGTCATGGAAGGCGACCGCAATCTGCTTGGAACTCGGAAAAACACATTTCTTTTTTTTTTTTCTTTCTCTCTCAGTGCGATCCCTTTGATCAACTCGGTCCGAAATTACAAATGGCGGGAAAGCTTAACTGGGGATTGCGTGTCTGGTCTGTCAGTAGCTTTTCTTCACATGCCCCAGGTAGTGTATGGTGTCGAAATAAATAAAAAAACAAAAAAAAAACTTTATTTCAAAGTGTGTGTGTTTTTTGTTTTTTTTTATTTTAAGGGGAGGGGTGGGGGTAGGAGGGGGGGTTTGAGGGAGTAGGAAAGAATTAACATACATTCTAACCGTATGATTTTATGAATTTTAAATGGCATTTTCCGACTGCATTGCAATTTAAAAAAAAAATAAAAAATAAATTTAAAAAAAAATCAAATTGTGCTCCATAACCGTTAATTAAAATATGCGATGTGACGTTGCCAGGTCTTAGGAATGACAAGCCCTATTCGGAGACCTGAATCCACTCTTCTGGTGTCATCCTCAGGGCTTGGCCTACGGCCTCCTGGCGTCCCTGAGTCCCGTGTCTGGCCTCTACTCGTCCTTCTTTGCTGTGATGCTGTACGTCGTGTTCGGCACGTGCCCCCACATATCCATGGGGACTAACTCGGTGCTTGCGCTCATCACGGCGGCTATGGTGGAGAGGGAGTTGTCGGCCCTGCCTGGCGACTACTTTTCAAGTAAGTGTATTACAGTGACCTTATTGAGCTGTCAATTCGAGTATTTTATACGAGTATGACATTATTGTGAGGTAATATAGTTTTGAGGGGATTCGGAGATTTTCGTATCCGAAAATTTGATCGAAAGAAATTTCGTCGACGGTAAATTGATCGACGGTAATTTGATCGAACGGAAATATGGTCGAATCTTTTTTTTCCGTTTTTACGTTTAAATTTTGCTTCAAATGTGTTTTTGAACGCATTATTTTGTTTTACTATATAGTATAGTGCGTTCAAAAAGATACTTGACGAAAATTTTAATGTGTGAACTGAAAAAAAGATTCGACCAAATTTCCGGTCGATCAAATTACCGTCGATCAATTTACCGTCGACGAAATTTCTTTCGATCGAATTTCCGGTAACCGAAGATTTTAGGTAATTAGAGATATGAGATTATGAGATTGTTATTTCGAGTTTATGGGGTTTGAGGATTAGAGTTTTGTCGGGCAAGGCGATTTAAAAAAAAAAAAAAATGAAAATCGGAGTTTGGAATAAGACTTTAAATTTATTTTTTTTGTGTGAATTTTAGTTGTTGTTTTTTAAAATTTTAATTGGAATTGTCGCTCTATACGGGCCAGTCAACCTTTATTTCTATCAAACGAATCGTAAATTAATTGCAACTTTCTGACGTCAAATTATTGCACCTTTCTGAGCTCAGCTTAATGCAACTTTCTGACGTCAAATTATTGCAGCTGCCTGACGTCATTTTATTGCAACTATTCAGTGTCAATTAATCTCTCTCTAGAAAACGTCTCTGGGGTCGTCTCTCAAGAGCCCACAGACGAAGAAGAGATCAGCTTCAAGCTGACCGCCGCCATGGCATCGGCCTTTGGGTCGGGCGTCCTGCTGTTTCTCATGGGGCTGCTACGGGTTGGTTTCGTGACCAGCTACATGCCCTCGTCATTCGTCGGGGGATTCACTGCCGGGGCAGCCGTGCACATCGCCACAAGCCAGGTGAGTCCATGTGTGCTCA